GAAATAATGGAAGTCCTTTCTAGATAAACCAAATTTTCTTTACTTACACTTTGTCACATTTCTTTAGTATCACATCTAGACCATCTTCTAAGGGACCATGAAATTCCTCAAACTTTTAAAGATATACTCTTGCTTTTTCATCAGCATCTTCTACCTCTGCTTGATTAGTATAACCAATAATGTGAAATTCTTCCTGAATTGCTATTATATCATATTCTAAATCTAAGAATAACATAAATAATTCCTTATATAATATATCAGTAGAAGCTCTATTGCTTCTAAGCTTCATTTTTAGAATGGAATTGCCATCAATATTAAGATTTTTCTGTATCAGTTTTATATCCGCTACCAAATATAACAACAACTCATACGTATCAGCAAAGGTTTTCACTTTTTTGATTTGATGGGTTACTGTTTGATTTGTATTATCATTAAAACCAAGTTTTTTCTGAATAGCTTTTATATCCTTCTTTGTATATAAAAGTTAATTATATAATTCAGCAGAAGTATTTCTTATCATGATCATAATTGTGTTTATCTCTGATTAGCATATATTCAATTTTATGTCTGAAATACTGATCATCAACTGAAGCAGTGATCACCAGCTCAGAAGACTTTTTGCTGAACCATGCATAGCGCCTATAGCTAGATTGTGTAACAAAATAAGTGGATCATCAGTCAAGTCTTGTGTGATATATTAATTTTTATATATCAAAAAGAAGTTATATGCTAACCAATATCTCTATTTTTCCTCTAAACAAATGTGAGAAAATGTGAAAGGATGTCTACATGCAATACAAGACTAACTCTAAAAGTAAATAGTACTGATAAAAGCATATATTATGAAAGGCTGAGGGACTTGTAATTCTAAGATCGCTAGGCGTAAAGCTAACTATATATCTTTTCAGTAGATCTCTATATGAAAGGATTTGAAGATTTCATTTGCATGTGCTTTCATAAAACTTTTGGCATCATACAACAATACTAATTACGCCTCATACCTCCTTACTTTTTTTCCAGTCAGATATAAAGCATGTAGGAGTATGTGGAAAGTTCAGCCAACTTTTCGCAAAAAAATTTAAGGTATGTATATACTAGAAGTTATGTATGTATAAGAGCGAGTTTTTTCTCACTATGGGTCATTGTATTTAGGAAAGCAAGATGTCTGATACTATTATTACTCTCAATTGTCTTCTTTTACCTGGTAATACAACTCTAAAATCAGAATTATCAGAAGGAAGTATTATTACGTTTAAAATTTCTAACTACGAAATAGTTGATCAGTTAAGGATTATTATTAAAGAAAAGTGGCTATCCTTATTTAAAAAGATTTCTTCTGCTGAGATTTTACTCTGAAAGATCAATGATACCAGAAATGATACATCAATTAAAAGCCAAATTGATGAATATGCTTATGGGAGACGTTAAAATGAAACAGGAATGCCTTCACATGTGTTGATTTCTAACTATTTCTTCTAACAATCCCTAATGATAGAATTAATATTTATGTATTTATTTAAAATATCATATAATAGCGATATATTCATGCGAAGTACCTTAACAGTCATAGGAGGACTTTCACATGATTAGCTGATTATGTTACATGAATTTTATAATTAATACTATAAATATTTATATATATCACGTAATACACTACGTGATAATAAAATTCAACTATTACATTTAATAAACTATTTTAGCATTTAAATGTATAATAAATTAAAGTATTAAAAATAAAACCTTTGTTTCAAAAATTAGTTTAATTTATTGATTTTATATAATAGTCTTAGTTTTTGTAAACAAAAAAAAAATTTAAAAATTTTTTTATTTTTATTGCAACTAAAATGCTTCTCTAAATGAAATTGTCCTTTTAAATGATCTATTGCTGTTGAAATTTACGTAATACTTCTTCTAATACATATGCTACATATTTTATGGATTCACTTTCATCATCATTGTCATCACAAGAAATATTATTTTCTGGTTCGACAACCTGCTCTTTTAATTTTTGCAAAGATTGTAATAAAGATTGAACATGTTCATCAATACTGTTGTATAAGAATAAGAGACAATGCAAGTATTTAAATCCATTGTTACTGTAACAGGATTTATGATATGTGTGGTCGCAAGCTAAAATTTCAATAGGATTGTCTGCAATAATAGATGAAGGAATCAAACAATTAGCTGCATCACAGTAATGAAATTGATATAGTTTATATGCAGTATTGAAATCCAAAGGAAGATGACGTAATTGTGCTTTCAGCATCTTCATTACAACTAAGAGGATATCATTCTTTTCTTCACACTTCTTCTTTGGAGATGGATTGATCTGTAATGAAAATGATATTATTAGTTTATAATGAAATAAGCACGTATAAATTTCTGAAAAATATTGCAATAGAAAACAAGCGCTTTTCTTTGTTAAAGCTATTATATCCTATATAAAATACTCATATGCTGCCCATGTAGATGTATGCACAAAATTTTCTCTAAATTTATTGTCATCCAAATGCAAATGATTAATGAAATGCCCATATTTAATGATCTGTTACGCATCTGTGTATTTCTGCATACTTCTGCATAAAAAGCTATGAAAGATTTCTACAGTTGAGTTTAAGAACTTCGGAAGTTTAGCCTTGATGGTCTCTAGAATTAGGTGATTATTTAGCTCTCAATAAAAGATATCAGAAAGAAACATCAATGGCGCTTTAGTATAGTTTTTACGATGAAATTTAAGAAATATTATCCAAATACGAAAGCAAGCTTCTAAGTATGCATTAAAATCACTTGACAGGAAAAATACAGTATAAATATCCAATACAAGTGGAATTGTATTGTCAAGAAGATCTTTGAGTATAAGATATTCAGCATCTTTGCACAAAGGTTTGAATTTCGTTTTGACGGTCATAGAAACTTCTTGCTAGACACTGCGAGAAATCTCTAAAAGAAGGTTGATACGCCATGGCTTGGGCTTTTGCGTAAGTTTTTTATTTTTTTCAAAAATATATGTATACATAATTGAGAAAAAAGGTTGATATTGAAGGAAAACCAATTCTCAGCTATTTAGTGAAATATGCAGAAGACCTATAACAGGAAAGAAAGACAAAATATTATTAGTAATATTTGATGAATCATGATAACATAAGTAGCGTAAAATAACTATTCTAAGATAAATCTGTCCAGGCCAATCAGCTACAATGGGGATGATATTTCCTTGCTGAATATACTGCTGTATAGATGGAATATCTATAACGGTATTAATAGCTTTAATGTATGCATTTAAAGAATGAAGGTCATTTTCTTGTAAATCTATAAGAATGACATCTTTCATTAAACGGACATTTCATTTTTCCTTTAACCTAACATCATAACTATATACAGTTAGCTCCTCCAATCTTGTATCATCATCAACCATATGAAATCCCTAACGCTGGTTATGTGAAAGACTACAAAGACTCATAAACTTATTTTTTATATTAGTTTTAATCAATTCAGCATCAACTAGAATAGGGTTATGTATATTCATTTTTGGAATTGCATGTTGCGTCGTAATTGGATTCATCAAAATTGTTGCCAGATAGACAACGGTTGATGTGGTAGTTATATTTGGCATTCATTTTGTGTGAATGCTGTGGTAATCGTCAATATTTAGTACCATTGCATTCTTCATACATTCAGTAAGTGCTGAATTGACAGTCTTGGCATGTTCTTCAGATATAGTTGTTTTATACTGAAAAACTGTGTGAGATGTCATAGTTATACCTAAATTAGCAAGAGTATTTATAGAAGTATCAGAAGTACCTGTAGAATCTAGATACATCATCAAGTCCTTTTTAGCATCATTAACGAACTTATTCTGAATCCCACAAAGAAAGTAGCATACAAATAAGAGCTGTTTTTTTGCTCATTCTTGTGATCTCTATTTTTCAAAGAAGGATTAGACAATAAGTACAATTCATCAAAAAAGAACTTCAAATTTGCATTATTTTCTTCCATAACTTTGTGAAATTCATCAAATGAGTATAATGTTAGCATTTTTTCCCTATTTTCATGATTATATAAGATATTAGTCATTGTTTCTACTGCTTTAGAGAGGGACAAAATAGAGGGTGAGGGTAGTGATGCTGGAGGCGAAGGAGGAGGCAGAGTTGGAGGTGAAGGTGAAGGTAAAGCTTTCAGAGCATGTTGTTGAAATTCAAACGAACAATTTACTACAATTCCATTATAACAGTTTAAGCAAATTACGTCACCTATTTGTAGATATCTTAGCAAAGTATTGTTAGTTTGACCTTTTGCAATAATGTACTCAGTTACCTTTTCCATTGTGCTGACTGCTTAGTTTGGCATATTGTAATTACACATGGTTCAGTAAGCATACTTGTCTTCTAAGTAAAGTACCTTTAGATTTTGGATTATCTTGGGATTATTTTACACAGTGAGTGTTAACACACTTTTGAAGCTGAAAATAAAAAAAAATTTCATTTTTATAAGTGAAACATTACATTTTCAAAAAGTACTTTAAACTGTATAAATAATGTTCTCCGCATTTGAATAAGATCAGCAAATCATGTGAAAGTCTTCTTATGACCTTAATAGCCAATTTTATGTATTGTAGGCTGTAGGTTCTGGTAATGATTTATTTCATAAATAAAGTATTATTTTATCAGTATATGAGAAATGGATCACGTGTGATAATGCGTCTGTGTGACATAAAAATTTATATTAACGCCTAGTAGTCTCTTTCCTAAACAGAAATAAATTTTTATTTCACTCCGGAACGTAACACTATTTTTTATCTGAGTCCAATATCCCTATAAAAATATAACACTATGTCTGAAACTAGTACACCTCATACTTCAGCTTCCACTTTTACTTCTGTTACTGAAAATGAGACGGTCTCATTGGCAGATGAAATTAAAAAGTATGGTACATCTAAGCTTATCGAGTTTTTGAAGAACTAGAACTTAGGGCTTAGCGAGACTGCTATCAAAAATTTAGAAATGAAGAGGTTAATGGTGGTGACTTTCTTGATTTTAAAAGTAAGACCTGTGACGAGGCTCGTAAAGTTCACTAAGAAGTGTAAAGATAAAAAGTTGAGGGCTTTTTCAACATACTGCAGTTTAAAGGAAGTGTTGACGAAATATAACATTGGTGGTAATAGTACAGATACCATTCCACTATTTTCTCTACAAACCTACGAAATTAAAGACTCTGATAAGCACTTTGAGCATTGTATGGCGGAAATTTTAATTAGGCTAAAAAATTACGGGTCTTTGATCGTGAATAGTTTGAAAGCTATGTGCAATGAGTACGTCGTGATGTTTCTTCATACTGCAATCAATATTACAAGAGATTCTACAGGGAAAGAGCTCAGTATGAGACCTGAGTACAAAGTAATTGGTGATGATAGCACAGGACAGGTCGACTTTGCAATCAAGGTATTATGTTATTTTTTTTCAGGACCTGTCAATTTCCTGACATTTTTTTGAGCTGAGAATCTTATTTATGTCACTGAAGACAAACCAAAGCGAAATATAATCAAGGGTTTGGCTTAGAATATCAAACAACTAGAGAGCTCATGCTAAACGAATTTGAGAAAACAGAAGCAGAAGCGGAATGATGATGATGATTTCGATTATCTCTATGGTATTGTCACTACAGCTCGGGACTGACACTTCCTACTCTATACTCCGAGGAAAATTTCACAAGGCAGTAAATTACCATTTAGCATCGAATTTTCTGAAGATGCTTTGGGTAGAATATCAAACATTACGTAATAGCGTGAAAAAGGTGTTGGCGTTGTAGTAGGATTATTAAAGGATAGGGCATGTGCAGAAGACGATCCTCCCTCAAAGAAAAAAGGCTAGAATAGAGGAATATCGTTCGAAAAAATAGGGGTGGGATTATAGTCTGTAATCATGTAGACAGTGTATCACGGGCTAGGTCCCGAACCTTTGTATTTATTTTTAATAAATGTTTTTCTTGGAAAAAGTGATCTGCGTTCCAAATTGGAACGGACACGTGATTTTTTTATTTGGAAAAATGTCATCCATGATTAGGCTACCGTCCGAAAAAAAAGATGAAGCTTTGCACAGTCGCTGTTCAGATTGTTTTCATTAAACACAAATATGATATAGATTCAATGTATCACGGCCGAACTTTTCATGCGTGTATTAATAAAAAATTTTTATGTACAACAATTGATCGTGACAAAATGTCACGGTTTTTCATAACCACCGCGTAATATCTTGGGCATCCTGACTTGAAGATAAGTGTTCAGGTGAATGCCCAAGAAACTCCGAATTTTGACCGAATACTCACGTGATTTTTGATCGTGAAGATTCTTCACGGTTGCACCTATGATGTGATAATGCGACAACATACTGTACATATTCGAAAATACAAGCTAACTTCTGTTTATGAATAACCTAATTAGTTAGTTGTATGCTAATATTTCTTGATCATCCGGCTGGAACTTGATAAATAAATGTGCTGAGTTATAAAAAGATGTTAATGAACTCTCTTATCTACCTTGTGCAAGTGTAAATCTGATCAAACTTACTATTATTTACACGTCATTATCATTAATCAACGAACGAGTATATTTTCAAAGGTACGTTAATAGATTCTAGGATAATGCTAATTGGCTTTTTAATCCTTTTAACATTATCGTATCTATTTTGTGGGCGCAGTTCTAATTATATCAGTATTATATCCGAACTCTATTAAAGAACGTTTATGGTAGGATATGAAGCGGAGTGTTATGAAAGCGAAAGAAGTATTTGTTTTTTTACTTAATTTTTCTTAGAATATTTAGGCGGGAATTGGTTAAAAATAATGGCATATAGGAATGAAATTTTGGTGTCGGAATTAGTTAGAAATTATTAGATAGGCTTAAAAAATAAACATTTGATAATACATTCATTTTATTGTTTACAAATTTTTCACTTTGATATTAAACATATGAATAATATATTCGAAAAAATGAAAATGTAAAATGTAAGAATTAATACTTTGTTATTTTTTAAACTATTCTTCATCCTCAGAAATTTCAATATCACTACATTCCCAATCAACTTCGGATCCCTGTTCTTGTTTTAAAACTTTAATCCAATTTTGACAATCATTAGAAATCAATGTGTCTGCATTATTTTCATCAATAATCAATCTTGGTATCCTTTTTGATGCACCGGGTGTTTTTTGATAATCCCTTTTTCTTTTAAAATGACAAGGATAGGCGACAATCATCTGTATGTTGCGGTTACTCCATTTTTGTCGTTCATAGATTTCATGCAATTCATTATAAAACTGAAAAGGATTGGGGTTCGAGTTTTTGTCTGTAAACATTGTATTCGGATCAACAGTTTTACATGCCTTCTTTAGCTCAACATTATTTCTTAACTTGACCTGAGTATTTAGAATATAAGCTTCCCTTTTTTCTCCTTTCGGAAAGAAAAAAGCAATTGAGATATCAGGGCCTGCTGTGTTTGGTGGATAACATATTGGGCAAAACCCATCAGAAACATTTCCAGTCTTCTCCCATGATGACACTATATGAAGCCACTTAATATATTCTTCAGGTGCAGAAAGTTCTACAGATATCACGCCTACACGATTTTTACCAGATGGTAACAGCTCAGGTGAATTCACAAAATCAACAGGAAGATAACGATGACTGTTACCAGGGAATAGTTTTTTGTGCGAGGATAAAGGTATGTTACTTTTAAAAATAATGTTATGCAATAAATTTGTAACACACTTCTCCCAAATAAATCCTGCCATGCTCGCATTAAAATTGACTTGTGACATTACATTAAACCACATGTTGTCTATTTTAGTATTATTAAAATAGTTGATTCCTGCTTGAATCGCAAGAGGTTCATCAATGATCCCAGTTAATTCTTGAGTCTCGAGGTGGGCAAAGCCAATAGACATAATATCTATTTCTTTGGTATTTTTATATAAATACGGCCTTCCCGTCATTGCATAATAAATAATAGCTTGTTTTAAAAGTTCAAATATAGACTCATGGTTAATATAAGAATGTCGCTCACTAGGATGATGCATAAGTCTTACAAGTCCAGAGTAAAGACTATATCTTGGATTTCGTTGAATTATGTAATTAGTTGTAAGACGTTCTTTTAGTATTTTAAGTTGTTCTTCGGGATTATAAGACATAAGAAGATAGTGTATCCATGTCCAAGTAAAACGATATCGACCCTGTTTAGAAATTATATTGTAAGAACTGGAATTGAATTCGATAAAACACCATGAGAAAAATGATATACCTTTAGCCATCTAATTGCAATTGACGCATATTTTTCTTCAAGTGGCAATATACTATGTGTCAGTTTAAGTATTTCTTCCGAGGTTTTAATTTGGCCAAATTGACTAAAAGTTGGAATACTATAGAATAACAGAAAAAATTAGTTAAATTATACAAAAGGTTTAGGACTTAGGACTAAAAAGTTTAACTTACAGGGATCCTTCCTTTGCCACGTTAGATGATGCTAGATCTTTTGCTTCCAATAGTGATAAACCAGATCCAGTTATACAAATGACTACTTCCGCACATACCTGGCGTAAAGTTGACATAGTCTTAACAGCTACAGTAAAAAATGGTCTCATTATACTTTTGTCATTATAAGATGGAAATTTATTTGCTAAGCATGAGGTGTGAATTTGGGCCTCGTCATAAATTATTGGAAAGATGTTGCTCTTTAGTTTTCTATTAATATCTGCCATAATATTAAGACAATATTCTTTAAGGTGTATCACATCACAAGATTCTCGAAACCTTATAGATAGTTTACTGATAAGTTGATTACTAAGCTGGAAGATTAACCAAGATTTGGGCTCCATTGTACAGTCATGTTCCTTAGCCATACAAAAGAGATAGTTAAGCAAGAATAATCTTCCTGTGATGCAACTCCATATTCCACACTCTGCAATATTTTTTGCTTCGTCAGGTTCAGGTTCAGGTTTTACATTGATTTTTTCCTTCGTCCACTCTGTTGCAAGTTCTAAGTCGTCAGATCCAAGATTCCATGATTCAGTAACAAAGTACAGGCCATAGTCGCGACATAAAAGTTCCAAACATAGGCGAGTTTTGCCACAGCCAGAGGTTCCCATAATAATTGTCATACTATTAGATATAGCATTATGTTCAATGCGCAAGAAATCTTCATAACTAGTAAGGAATTCTTCATTCCGCCCAGGGAGATTGTACAGAAGCAAATTAGGACTATCATTAAGCATCGGAATTTTTCTTTCATCAATTATGTTTTTGTGAGGATGTTCATCTGGTGCCTTGAAATACGAATAAGGATCATATGTGTTTGTCACAACTTTTTCTAGTTCCTGAGAATACGTTTTAAGTAGATCTTGAACTTCTACCTCTACTTGGGAGATCGTTCGTGTGGAAGGCACTGCATGTTAGAAATAAATTTTAAAAAAGGATGTGAGATAACGCGAATTTCTTGTTCGAGAGGTAAACCATTGGGAGACACTTACCAGTGGTGGCGAGCGGCGGCGGTTCCACGATGATGTGGATTGTCTTTACCTTAGGTGGTTGTTGATTACGGTAGTCTTCTGGAATTTCGTCTGCTGGAAACAACTCTTCGCCTCCGAAATCTCTTCCGATATTAACTTCACGAGACGAACAAGACGCTTCGTCAAGTTTACTCATATTTTCTATGTTGATGGGAATATTGACTTTCCATAATATGAGATTGTTTTCGTCAACATTGGTAAAGGTATTTTCCTTTATCTTATAAATTGCACTCCTGAGTTGCGAACCGAGAGTAATTTCATTGGTAATAGAAACTGCAAATAGGTTCCTTTGAGCGGGAATTTCACCTAGAACAAGGCAAAACATGATATTGTGTCTGCAAACGCGAAAACGTGAGTTAAAAACAAGGGTCAAAAAATCAATCTTTCAGTAAAATATCAAATAAAGACCTTTTTGTATATTTTGTATACAATCTTATATTTTTTATATCTTCAGGTGGGAAGATTTTGGTATTTATATTAAATCGGCAAAAATCGGTTGATGAACGATAATGATGAGTGACGAAATGTTCTAGATACTTCGAAAAATCAGGGTTATGATCCTTCAGTTCTCGCTGAATCGGTTACCTTATTTAATTACGTAATTATGACAATGTCCTCACTATAAATAATACTGTTCAAAAAATTTATCAGCGCCAAAATGTTTGGTGAGGCCCAGAAAAAAATATAAATTCTAAGTTATGACTGAATTTCGTGCGCAGATTTGGTAATAACTTATGATGAATTTGCTATGTTGGCCGAAATTTAAGAATATTATTATTTAATCTAATGAACAACGCTTTAAACTTTATAGCAAAAATAGGGTCATTTGAATTCGTTTAATCATTCGAATGACATGCCAATATTGAACGTATAAAATGACAAAAATAATTAAAAAAAAAATTACAGAGCAATCTGGGGCTATTTATAAAGAATTTGGTGTGGGAGATCTCATGTGATAATTTAGCCGTTACATTG